GTTGCTGCTCGTCCCGCTTCTCGGCGAATGGGGCGGCACGTCCTTCTTCGTCTGCACCCCGGCGCCTATCGGCGCCACCTTGTCCAAACCGTTCTCTCGGGGCGACGTCGTGCCGTTTACCACGGGACTCGTTGGCCCCTCGCTCGCGTCGTCCACCACGAGATCCTGGTCACTCTTCTCCCCGTCACTCTGCAGGTAGAAAACGAAAGTTGTTTTGCAAGATGAATTTTTGAATCGTTGCTTTTTTTTTGGAATTTTGTAAAAATCTGTTGAATAGAATCCTTAATTTTTGGTTGGTTAAATTTTCTTTCGGGGATTTGAGAAATATTTTTAATTTTAAAACTTTTTTACGTGGTGATAATTATAGTCGGTTCGTAAGTATAGTCATTCAAAAAATTGTTATACACGGGAGATACAAAAAGGGTTGATGAATAAATTATCGATTAATTATTTTTAATTTCAATCGAGCTCATCGAGTATTTTGCTTCTATCTGTATATGTTCTTTTTTTGAAAATTCACTCGAAATTTTGACGCGATTCAAAATTTTTGTTAAATGTAATATGCGTGACATCTGGTAGGAAGTTGAGGAAGCTGTTTTTTATTTCATCAAACGAAGAATTCGTTAAAAGTTTGTTACTGAAGTGTGTTGTTTGAAGTTGCACGGTCTCTGCCTATCTAAGTTACATATTGGCGAGCCCAATCAGTCTTATCTTATTTGAAGTCTCAATCACGGTTTCCTTTGTGCCTTGTGTTAAAGCATCGGAATTGTAACGGTATCTGATGCCAATTTCGATCGAGTTAATAATTAATATTATTAGATTCTTACGATTATTTGATAACTCGATGAATCGAAATAAAAATACAACCGATTTTTGTTACAAAAAGAGATAAAAAAATTTTGAACATTATTATCGTCGACGTGAATTTTTTCTTTTGTGCACGATCTATCAAAATATTCTTTTTAAGATAAAACATAAGAGATTCTTTCCAAAAAACTTTTTTATTAAATTCAATCGAATTGTCGAGTCGTGATATCGGATGACAATGCAACTTGATCGAAATATTAAATAAAAAATCTCACATAAATAAAAATTTGTCTGAAGCTTTTTAACAATTATATAATTACACGATCCTAGATACAATTTGGTAAAAATACACGATTGAAAAAGAAACGAGAAAGTAGGTCGAAACGCATGAAGATCTAGATAAAATCAAATTCAACATTAATAAAATCAACAAAATCCCCGATAAAGGCAATAATCTAGTGCAAACACTTACATGACCGATGTCCTTGTCCTGCTCTTTCTTCATCTTCTTGATGTGCATGGGATGGTCATGGTGATTCTGAGAATGATGGGAATGATGCGTCTCCTGCGGTGTACGCGGACGACTATATTTATCACCGGGCGATATCGAGCTCCTCTGTAACGGAAACGACGAAAATTACGACTTTCCCGATCTGTGTGTCCACGATCTGTCATTTAAAATCGATTATTATTAATCGATTTTTAGGTAAACGAAAAAAGAAATTTCTCGATATTTATATTTCTTCGGATAAAAATTTTTACAATATTTGCATAAAGTTTTCAAAAGATTTCAAAGAGTTGAATACACGTGTATTATTATAATAATAAATAAAAAAATTTTAGAAAGATATTTAAAAAATTTCGAAGCTGAATATGCATCCATTTTTACACTTTTTCACATTATTAACAGACGATAAATAAGAAGAAAAAGAAGAAGAAGAAAAAATTCTAGGAGATCAAAAACAACAATTTCATTAAAAAAATTCTTAAAAGTTTAGAAGATTTCATCGTA